CCACTCTATAAATTTCAGGAGCCTCCATTCTTCCCCCCCCCTCCCCTTTTTTTTTCGTCTCCCAGTAAAACTTTTGCCATGTGATTAAATTGTCTTCATAACCATGTATGTATATGTTGTCATCATGATCATTGCGTTGTATGTGTCATTATATGTCTCAAGAGGCTCGTATAATCCCCATATTCCGTTTTATCCTGTGCAATCCCTTCGATCCTCAAAGCCCACTAAGCATACCATAAACTTGAGCTGTTAGCTGCTCATTGTTCAAGCAGCATACCGATTTTCACATGCTGTTCTCTCCCTTGCAAATGCTCCTTTTTGCCGGATCCACACTCACTTCCATGTTAAAACATTCATAAACGTGTTCTTTTCTCTAATCTCACCTTCTATAAGCTTTCGTTCATAAACGGTCTCCAGAATGTCTCATTTGTCCAGTATAGGTGTTCCTATAAATATCGCGTTGTAATTTTTAGAGATGTTAGCAATCAGCCAAAAGATTCGGGAAATCGGTTTAAGATTAAAAAGGAGCTGTGTAAAATCCACGCCTTTAGGGTTTGACCTATATTTTATAGACCAATCAAAGTAGCTGTGAATGTGTTTTTAATATACCCACTTTTATGTGACAGTACTGATTACAGTCACGAATATTACAAGAAGGAAACAGAAGGGAAGAAGCACAGAGGAATAAGAAGGTATAGAGTCGCTTGAGAATAAGAATGTCGCTACATAGTATAACAACTCTGAGGGCATTGACTCAAGGGTCGACAAAGACGTGGGTGCATGCCAAGCTAGTCCAGGAACTATTGTAGGCCACTATACTCATAAATTAAAAGAGGCAGGACCTGAGAGGCAGGACGAACAAAGATTTCCTGGGGATTTTTCATCCAAATATGCAAAGTGGCTTGGAAAACCATCTTTGCCGGGAAAGAGAAAGGTTAATGAACCTAAGAAGACACAGGACAATGAACTCAGGTACAAAGGAGAGAGGTAGAACCAAGTAGCATCAGGGGTATATACACTGCTAGGCGGCCCTGACAGAGACATTTGAACTGAGATCTCCGCCAACGAAGGATGCTCTGGGCATTCGGATAATGTCGCTACGATAGAGCTAAGTCCATACTTCTGTTGTGGAACTTGCCAGATATGCATGAAACATTGCTTGATGATTTGTGACATGGCAGTTTCTGTCATGGTGTGCGGGGTTGGCTAAAGGTAGATAGTATCTAGTCTGCAATCAGCAGTATGGCTAGATGGTAGTCGGTATTGGCTATAGGTTAGCTGGTCTTTGGACTGCAATCAGCAGTATGGTTAGATGGTAGTCGGGATTTGGCTTATTATGTGTAGAGCGAGGAAGGATATTCTAGGTGTTACTTGCTAGTTTATCGTTGAGTAGAGTAGATTCTGCTGTCAGTTGCTGAGTTCTATTGTGTGAGGACATTCTGTTTATGACATAATATAACATTTGTTGGTTGTGTAATACGACTTTGTAATTCTGTTTTCTAATAAACATGATGAGTAGTTTTTATTCTTTTATTCTATCGTTAGTTTGTTGAGTACAAGAGTGGTACTATTATTGCTAGTTGCTGTAGTCTTTATGCCACCATTCTACGATATTACTCTCTCTTCCATAAGACCACTGACCATTGCCTGATCGTTTGAGGTGTAGACTTATTACTACACTCTCCACACAGGAGAACCTTTTGTCCTCTTTTACATCCTTTAACTATAATTTCTTCTCGCCTGTCTCTCTCTCTCTACTTTTATATATTTTCTTCTCTTCTATCCCCCCCCCCCCCTCTTTAAAATGTACCCACTGTGACATTTAGCGAAAAATGAGCTAGCAACCGGCCTCAGTTCTAAATCCATTTGAATACAACCATTAAAAGAGCTATTCAGATATGTCCCAAGCGTCAATCTTCCGAGAACCACGAAACGGTAGAATGTTGACGTGGATCAGTTAGCACAGTCCCAGAGGGTAACAGGTCTGCTGGCATTAAAAGTGTGACCTTTTATCTGTCTTGAACTTCCTTGTCGGTTCTGAGGCAACATTTTTTACGGGGGGGGGGAGGGGGGGTGTGAAGAAAGAAGGGAGGGAGTGGGGCCTACCACATCCTAACAATCACATTGTAAAAATCGAAATAGGAGTTCGCTCAAAAGAGACGTGATGGGTCAGAAGATGCAGATATAGAGGTCTCATTATAAACCACAACACCTCATGCCAATCGCACTTTAAAGGACGACTGCAGAAGAAAAAAATGTTTAATCTGTTACCCATAGCTGTACTTGTGTTCTTAAAGTAAACATTATAAATCGGCAGGCAACAAACACCAGTTCTGAAAACAGATGAATACTTCAATCAAATGTTAAGTCACCTGTGACCTCAGATCCATATCAAGTGAACCGTAAAATACTGGCATGTTTACATGGTCCAGTTAGCACAGCACCCAACAATGGCTGGTTCGCTGGCAATAATATATTGACCTTGCTAAGACCTTCGGGCAAAAGCTCCTTCATTCCTCTGATTAAGTTTAAATTAATCTCTCTCTCTCTCTCTCTCTCTGTGTGTGTCTCTCTCTCTCTCTCTTTCTCTCTCTCTCTCTCTCTCTCTCTCTCTCTCTTTCTCTCTTTCTCTCTCTCTCGCGCGCGCTCTCTCTCTTGCTCCTCTATCTCTCGCTCTGTCTCTCTGTCTCTCTGTCTCTCTCTCTCTCTCTCTTTCTCTCTCTCTCTCTTCCCCGTGTGGGTTTTAAATTCCAGGGTCCCATCTGTAGAAGAGAATAATAGGCCCACTGCCCCGCCCCCCCCCCCCCATTCCCACCCAATAGGCATGTCACAAGAAGCAAATAATTAGGGCTGTTACTTTCGAAGTAAATAGATCTATTCACGGACTGAAATTTCTACATGGTACAGAGAAAAGCTGTCAAAATGAATGATGTTTCCTTTTCTAGTTAGTTATTATGTTGTTGTTCTGTTGCTTACAAGTTCGTAAATGCGTTTCACAATCCTCGATGTATCAGATTTCGATTCCGAAATGGCAGTTTAGAAAACGGTCGTTATAGTTTGGATGCTTTTTTCCTTTAACCTTTTTCAAAAACAATTCACTTACGTTGAATGCCCATGGTATATATATTCTAGGAAGCGCTAAAACTTGACTGCAAAACCAAATATTTGAAAAGGATATTCCGTATCAAATAATCTGATGATGAATGCTTGAACTATCATGGATGAAAACGGCGGAGAATGAGGAGTGAGAAGCAACAATCAAATGCATAAGCTCAGTTTAAACAGAAAATAATCACTGATAAGAGGCGTCATTTTGCGCCAACAGAGTGCATTGGTTTTTGACGAATAGAGAGAGGAAGATTACAGAGAAAAAAAAATAAAATATGCATTTACAAAAAGTTGAAAGGGAGTAGACCACAATGTAGACTGAAGCCGGTAGAGAGACCTAGAAGTATTTAGGAAACCGCCGTGGTAAAGCAGCTAGACGCTCGCCTGAGGATCGGAAGATCGTAGGTTTCAAGTCCCGACAAAGCCTTAAACTTTTTTTTTTAAACTGACCCCGGCAGTTTGATATTCCAAGAACTAGTACAATAGCAGGCTAATAATATGTGTAAATGGCAAATCTTTGACGTTAACACTAACACGTGACAGGGGATTTGAGCTTGATTAAGTACGTCTATGCCGTCTTCGAGGTAAAGATAGGAGATATTATAACCAACTTCTCATGGAAAATGTAACTAGAGGCAGCTAGGAGTGGCTGCTGCAACGGAGGACAGAGCACGCATGGGGATTCCTAATGTGCAAAGACGTCGAGTGTGATAACACACCATAATATACTAAAAATAGCAGATGCTATTAAATCACCTGAAATCGCAAAAGGTGTGAGAATTCTTGCTTCAAAAATATCTCCACTGTTTGATAATATGGAAAAGTTTTTAGTGCAGATAACTGACAAGAAAATGGCTGGTGGTTGTGTTTCAGAAGCCATCATATATGACAAAAGCCAAGAATCTGTGTCTGGATTTTCACCCAGATACTGCAACAAACAGCGCTAAAGATCTTATTGATTTCTGGGCAAGTTGTGGCTCGTTTCGTAATTTTAAAATACAAACAGGCATTCACAGTCAGACATAGGTTAGTTTCGTATCCTTTACAGGACGTTGCAGATCCAACCCCAACAGCCCCTGGCTGTTGTGTGGTTTATCTAGGCAAATTTAAGTCCAGTAGTTTGCCATTGCTTCTGGACGGTCGGCTTTCTTGATACTACTTTCGAAACCAATGCAAGACTCATGGCCCGCAGCTGGAATCAAACACGGCATCCCGGCATTTCGAAGCGTTCGCATCGACTTAGCTACAGAGCCGACAGTCAGACAAAGAGAGGCAGCAAATTCGAATTCAGAAAAAGCTAGGTAGCTTGTGTTAGATTTCCAACACTTTCTAGACACTACACAGTGTGTTGTTTAGGTTCCTGCCTGTGTGGTATGTGTGTGTGCGTGAATGCATGCTGGTGTGAGCGCGCACGTGTGTGTTAAAGAATAAATCGACACAATTTAGGGCTGGCAACGGATTTAATCACTTTTATTTCATTCCCATGGGCAAAAAATTCGTTTATTATATCTACCCTTCATAGGAGCGGATTAATGACAAATATTGAAGTTCCACTGTGTTTGCAAATCTTCATTGTTGATTAGAGCACACGGTTTGAGAATCACTGCCCGCTCTGGGTGTTTAGGGTTCAAGTTACAATACAACCGCATACAGTCTCACCTAGAATCTGTAACGCTCTTAACTACCGAGAAAGGTCAAGGCTAAAATAGCTCAGCTTCATTTCTATAGCGTTCACAATTTGGAACACAAACGGGAAACAAAGTGAGAACGTTCAGCGGCCACGTAATCGACCAAATAAAACTGGCACAGCCCACTGACTGTGCCACACACGCTGTGTACCTGCCGACTTAGCTGCACAGAGATTCCTTGTACTCTTACACACTTATTTCGCCATGGAGTTGTGCTGTTTTCATTTGGGAGGCTGGGAGGCGTGTTTGCTGCTAGTCCTCGCTGTTTGTTTACTTTTGTACATGTAAGTTTGCCTTATTTATTTCTCTACGTGTCCAGGTTATGTAATGTGAATGAAAGTGTCGAAAAGAGAGTTAGGTACAGTAAATGTTCTGTTATTTACACGTTTGTTTATAGATAGGTACGTATGTATTTGACAAGCAAGCTATAGCCACTACATCGGCGTCATGTCTTTACAAAAGTCAGTTACATAACTTGTCAGCCCCAGCAAAATCTTAGAGCTTTCACATGCATTTATGAGAGTTGAGCGACAAAAAAATCCCCAAACATGTTATCTACCCTGCAGGCTCTACTAGGGTAGTAATTGTTGTAGTGGTCACCACATGCATCACCTGTAGGTTACACTAGGGTAGTAATTGTTGTAGTGGTCACCACACGCATCAACTGTTGTAGTAGTCACCACACGCATTACATGTAGGTTACACAAGGGTAGTAACTGTTGAAGTGGTCACCTCATGCATTACCTGTAGGTTACACCAGGGTAGTAACTGTTGAAGTGGTCACCACACGCATTACCTGTAGGTTACACTAGAGTAGTAACTGTTGAAGTGGTCACCACACGCATTACCTGTAAGTTACACTAGAGTAGTAATTGTTGTAGTGGTCACCACACGCATTACCTGTAGGTTACACCAGGGTAGTAACTGTTGTAGTGGTCACCACACGCATTACCTGTAGGTTACACTAGGGTAGTAACTGTTGAAGTGGTCACCTCATGCATTACATGTAGGTTACACCAGGGTAGTAAATGTTGAAGTGGTCACCACACGCATTACCTGTAGGTTACACCAGGGTAGTAACCATTGAAGTGGTCACCACACACATTACCTGTAAGTTACACTAGAGTAGTAATTGTTGTAGTGGTCACCACACACATTACCTGTAAGTTACACTAGAGTAGTAATTGTTGTAGTGGTCACCACACACATTACCTGTAAGTTACACTAGAGTAGTAATTGTTGTAGTGGTCACCACACACATTACATGTAGGTTACACCAGGGTAGTAACTGTTGAAGTGGTCACCACACGCATTACCTGTAAGTTTCACTAGGGTTGTAATTGTTGTAGTGGTCACCACACGCATTACCTGTAGGTTACACCAGGGTAGTAACTGTTGTAGTGGTCACCACACACATTACATGTAGGTTAAACTAGGGTAGTAACTGTTGTAGTGGTCACCACACACATTACCTGTAGGTTAAACTAGGGTAGTAACTGTTGTAGTGGTCACCACATGCATTGCCTGTAGGTTACACCAGTGTAGTAACTGCTGTAGTGGTCACCACACGCATTGCCTGTATGTTACACTAGGGTAGTAACTGTTGTAGTGGTCACCACACGCATTGCCTGTAGGTTACACTAGGGTGGTAATTGTTGTAGTGGTCACCACACTCTATCTACAGGCTACACTAAGGTAGTTCCTTCTATTGTGGTCACCAGTTACCTTATCTACAGGCTACACCAAGGCAGTTCCTGCTGTCATGGTCACCACACACTCTATCTACAGGCTACACTAAGGTAGTTCCTGCTGTAGTGGTCACCACACACTCTATCTACAGGCTACATCAAGGTAGTTCCTTCTATAGTGGTCACCACACACTCTATCTACAGGCTACATCAAGGTAGTTCCTTCTATAGTGGTCACCACACACTCTATCTACAGGCTACATCAAGGTAGTTCCTTCTATAGTGGTCACCAGTTACCTAATCTACAGGCTACATCAAGGTAGTTCCTTCTACAGTGGTCACCAGTTACCTAATCTACAGGCTACATCAAGGTAGTTCCTGCTGTCGTGGTCACCACACTCTATCTACAGGCTACACCAAGGCAGTTCCTGCTGTCTTGGTCACCACACACTCTATCTACAGGCTACACTAAGGTAGTTCCTGCTGTAGTGGTCACCACACACTCTATCTACAGGCTACACTAAGGCAGTTCCTGCTGTAGTGGTCACCACACACTCTATCTACAGGCTACACTAAGGCAGTTCCTGCTGTAGTGGTCACCACACACTCTATCTACACGCTACACTAAGGCAGTTCCTGCTGTAGTGGTCACCACACACTCTATCTACAGGCTACACTAAGGCAGTTCCTGCTGTCATGGTCACCATACACTCTATCTACAGGCTACAATAAGGCAGTTCCTGCTGTCATGGTCACCAGTTACCTAATCTACAGGCTACACTAATGTAGTTCCTTCTATAGTGGTCACCAGTTACCTAATCTACAGGCTACACTAAGGCAGTTCCTGCTGTCGTGGTCACCACACACTCTATCTACAGGCTACACTAAGGCAGTTCCTGCTGTAGTGGTCACCACACCTATCTACACCAGTTAATCTACAGGCACACTATCTATGGTCACCAGGCTACAGGCTTAAAGGTAGTTCCTGCTGTCGTGGTCACCACACACACTATCTACAGGCTACATCAAGGTAGTTCCTTCTGTAGTGGTCACCAGTTACCTAATTTACAGACTACACTAAGGCAGTTCCTGCTGTAGTGGTCACCACACACTCTATCTACAGGCTACATTAAGGTAGTTCCTTCTATAGTGGTCACCACACTATCTACAGGCTACATTAAGGTAGTTCCTTCTGTAGTGGTCACCAGTTACCTAATCTACAGGCTACATCAAGGTAGTTCCTTCTATAGTGGTCACCAGTTACCTAATCTACAGGCTACACTAAGGCAGTTCCTGCTGTATTGGTCACCACACACTCTATCTACAGGCTACATCAAGGTAGTTCCTTCTATAGTGGTCACCACACTATCTACAGGCTACATCAAGGTAGTTCCTTCTATAGTGGTCACCACACACTCTATCTACAGGCTACATCAAGGTAGTTCCTTCTATAGTGGTCACCAGTTACCTAATCTACAGGCTACATCAAGGTAGTTCCTTCTATAGTGGTCACCAGTTACCTAATCTACAGGCTACATCAAGGTAGTTCCTTCTATAGTGGTCACCAGTTACCTAATCTACAGGCTACATCAAGGTAGTTCCTTCTATAGTGGTCACCACACACTCTATCTACAGGCTACATCAAGGTAGTTCCTTCTATAGTGGTCACCAGTTACCTAATCTACAGGCTACACCAAGGCAGTTCCTACTGTTGTGGTCACCACACACTCTATCTACAGGCTACATCAAGGTAGTTCCTTCTATAGTGGTCACCACACACTCTATCTACAGGCTACATCAAGGTAGTTCCTTCTATAGTGGTCACCAGTTACCTAATCTACAGGCTACATCAAGGTAGTTCCTTTTATAGTGGTCACCAGTTACCTAATCTACAAGCTACATCAAGGTAGTTCCTTCTATAGTGGTCACCAGTTACCTAATCTACAGGCTACATCAAGGTAATTCCTTCTATAGTGGTCACCAGTTACCTAATCTACAGGCTACATCAAGGTAGTAGTTCCTTCTATAGTGGTCACCACACACTCTATCTACAGGCTACATCAAGGTAGTTCCTTCTATAGTGGTCACCACACACTCTATCTACAGGCTACATCAAGGTAGTTTCTTCTATAGTGGTCACCAGTTACGTAATCTACAGGCTACACCAAGGCAGTTCCTGCTGTCGTGGTCACCACACACTCTATCTACAGGCTACATCAAGGTAGTTCCTTCTATAGTGGTCACCACACACTCTATCTACAGGCTACTTCAAGGTAGTTCCTTCTATAGTGGTCACCACACACTCTATCTACAGGCTACATCAAGGTATTTCCTTCTATAGTGGTCACCAGCTACCTAATCTACAGGCTACACTAAGGCAGTTCCTGCTGTCGTGGTCACCACACACTCTATCTACAGGCTACATCAAGGTAGTTCCTTCTATAGTGGTCACCACACTATCTACAGGCTACATCAAGGTAGTTCCTTCTATAGTGGTCACCACACACTCTATCTACAGGCTACATCAAGGTAGTTCCTTCTATAGTGGTCACCAGTTACCTAATCTACAGGCTACATCAAGGTAGTTCCTTCTATAGTGGTCACCAGTTACCTAATCTACAGGCTACATCAAGGTAGTTCCTTCTATAGTGGTCACCAGTTACCTAATCTACAGGCTACATCAAGGTAGTTCCTTCTATAGTGGTCACCACACACTCTATCTACAGGCTACATCAAGGTAGTTCCTTCTATAGTGGTCACCAGTTACCTAATCTACAGGCTACACCAAGGCAGTTCCTACTGTTGTGGTCACCACACACTCTATCTACAGGCTACATCAAGGTAGTTCCTTCTATAGTGGTCACCACACACTCTATCTACAGGCTACATCAAGGTAGTTCCTTCTATAGTGGTCACCAGTTACCTAATCTACAGGCTACATCAAGGTATTTCCTTTTATAGTGGTCACCAGTTACCTAATCTACAAGCTACATCAAGGTAGTTCCTTCTATAGTGGTCACCAGTTACCTAATCTACAGGCTACATCAAGGTAATTCCTTCTATAGTGGTCACCAGTTACCTAATCTACAGGCTACATCAAGGTAGTTCCTTCTATAGTGGTCACCACACACTCTATCTACAGGCTACATCAAGGTAGTTCCTTCTATAGTGGTCACCACACACTCTATCTACAGGCTACATCAAGGTAGTTTCTTCTATAGTGGTCACCAGTTACGTAATCTACAGGCTACACCAAGGCAGTTCCTGCTGTCGTGGTCACCACACACTCTATCTACAGGCTACATCAAGGTAGTTCCTTCTATAGTGGTCACCACACACTCTATCTACAGGCTACTTCAAGGTAGTTCCTTCTATAGTGGTCACCACACACTCTATCTACAGGCTACATCAAGGTATTTCCTTCTATAGTGGTCACCAGCTACCTAATCTACAGGCTACACTAAGGCAGTTCCTGCTGTCGTGGTCACCACACACTCTATCTACAGGCTACATCAAGGTAGTTCCTTCTATAGTGGTCACCACACACTCTATCTACAGGCTACATCAAGGTAGTTCCTTCTATAGTGGTCACCACA